TTCCCTCCCATGATCAAGAACACAGTCAATCGCCTCCACTCCTCTGTGCTTGCGATTGTGGCCCTGGAGAAGGCGATTCAGTGTGGGGAGGGCAAGAACCTGCAGAACGGCGTCGTATTGGAGAACGTATCGCATGGACAGCTCCAGGCTCTGTCGACCGTGCCGGCGGATAGTCCGGCGTCGGCCGGTGATCAGGGGTCTTCTTCCACGGCCGCGTATGTGATTACGCCGCCTCCGGTTATGGAGGGTTGAGGGGTTGTGAAGCGTTTTGGGGCTAATCGAGTTCATGTTGTTCCAATGCACGTAGGTGCTTGCTTTATCTCTCTCTCTCTATATATATATATTTTCTTATGCCCTAATCTGCTCTGTTTAGGTTGATATTTGAACTATTATGTCTCATACTGTTCTCTGTTTATGTACACATGCTTATATGTATTCGTAAAAATTTTCTCAAATTATTATTTTTATATGTTTGTCTCTTTCATTGTGCCATATTATTACTTGTGAGTTTTAGGTTTTGGGTTGTTGATTTGGAGTTTCCCATTGGCACATTGCTCTCTCTCTCTCTGCATGTGTGTTAATATTACAGTCTGTTTGGATCAAGTGATAAGAAATGGAGAGAAAGAGAAATCTTTTATCATTTTTGGTTTATAAATTAGGTGAGAAATTGAGAGAAAGAGAACTCTTTTATTTTATAGGTTTCATTTGTCATCAAAAGTAGTGAGACTTGGTAGGAAGCAAAATCGTTGGTTGTGTATTTTCATAATATTGAAATTGCCTTGTTAAAATACGAAAGAAAAAGAAATCCCACCCATATTACCATATCACATACTTTGCTTTCACATAGAGTTCATTTCTTTTATTTTCTCACTTGGATGAGAGACCACAATCATTTCTTGCCTATTATCTTTTATATTTTGCTATGCTGTTTTGTTTCAGTCTGTCTTTGTTGATCTTGTGCTAACAATATTCACATTGCTCTATTTCTCATCATGCCATATTAATTTGCTTTTAGTTTATCTCATTTGGTTTTGAGCTTCTTTGGAGAGCAGATTGGTTTTCGCCCAGTACTGGGCATAGATTAGAGAGACAAGTGGTGCCACATTTTTTCTCCGGGAAGTCAGCTGAACATAGGCCAGAAAAATACATGGAATGTCGTAACTCGATTGTTGCCAAGTACATGGAGAATCCAGAGATGAGACTGTCAGTTGATGATTTTTGAGAATTGGTAGCTGGCATTGATATTGATGATTTAACACGAATTGTTCGGTTTCTTGATCATTGGAGAATCATTAATTACTATGCGTTTGCTCCCAATCGTGAGCATCGGAGTGATGGTTCATATTTGAAGGAAGATTCAGATGGTGAGGTTCATGTGCCATCAGCTGCTTTGAAGTCCATTGATAGCTTAATTCGGTTTGACAAGCCCAAATGTAGGCACAAGGCAGCAGATGTTTATCCATCATTGTCATGTCATGATGGTGAGGAGTCTGATTTAGACAGCAGGATCCGAGAGCGATTATCTGAGAATCGATGCAATTGTTGTTCCTGTCCCCTACCCATTGTTTATTATCAGTCACAGAAGGAGGTGAGTAGCATACCTTTTTCTAGCCACTTGTTATTATGTTAATTTGAAGAGCAAACAGGTACTCGAAATCTTTGTATTTGGTCTCTAAGATTAATTTGAACCTTTAAAGATAGTTATACTTAATAATAATAACCCTTATATTGAAAAAATATATCTTCTAATTGTGGCTGGTTATATTATGGGGAGTGATGAACCGAACTTAGTGGATTATCTTTGAGGCAATTTAGTTATCTTGTGAGAATTAAATGCCTCTCTCATATTTTAGGCAGCGTTTGAGGATACAAATCCATGATTTGAATTAGTTCCGTTAAAGATATGGAGGAGCCAACAATACTGATGGTATGAAATCAGTTTTACAACTTGTAAAATGTCTGTTGCAATTTTTCTATGTTAGTCGTGGTGATGAAAGTCATTTTTCTGCAAGGATCCCACGCTCAATGATGGATTTGTGCATAAAATTATATGGCAAAACATGGTAGGGTAATACCAGTTCTGTGAGTGTACAAATGCTTTCAAAAATGTCATCAACCAGTCTAATCCTACCTATGATTACAATGGATTATTGTTTCTATATTTGTTGCAAATAAATGATTACTCATTCATGAGAATATGGAAAATAATGAGCAACTTCTTACTTTCACCTGCTTTCTTTAGGATGCTATTTTTTTTTTTTTTTTTGGGAGGGGGGGGGGTTTTTTTTTTGGGGGGGGGGGGTGGTGTTTAGATTTGAGAACTCTGGATTTAGTGGAGGCTATAATCTTAAATGAATGAATACTTACAATTTAAAAAATGATGCAAAATTAAGCAAATGTCTTCCTTTTTTCAGAAGTTACTCCAAAGGTGGTTCTTAGCTTATTGGTTAAGTGGGGGCTCATTTTTATGTACTTAATTAATTATAGTAACTGGCAGATGAAGACGTGTGTACTTTTTTGCTCTCTCTCTCTCCCCCCCTTACCATCCCTCACAACAAGGGTATAGGTTTGTTCATTAACAGTTTTATCATTTTATTAGCAACTTCTCCAGCAGAGACAGTATTTTGGTCAGTATGGAAAGGTGTTGAAGGTGTCTATATCTCGGACAGTAGCTGGTGCTATTCAACATTTTGCAAACAATACTTGTAGTGTGTAAGTCTAAGTGTTTTCATTATTGCTAGTTTTTGTTTATGTATTTATTTTTATTTTCCTTGAGAAGTGAAATTGAGTTATAAATACTTCAAAATGTTTTTGTCAAACATTGCTTGTTCATTTCAATCTTTTGCTTATTCTATTAGTTCATATGTACAAGGAAACTGCCTAATCTGAAGATGCATTTTATTTCTGCTTTTTATCCAGTTGTATGTTGATACTGGCTTGTTTACATATTTTTGTTCCATTACTTCACTACAACTGTTTTGTTCTTCAACGTGATTTCTATCCCAGATATATTACTTACCCAAAGGAGGAGGAAGCGGTTCGATGTATTCAATCAGTGCATGGGTTTACCTTGGATGGTAGATCATTGAGGTGGAAAATGGCTACATTCAAGATTTATGTTCTATTCTGTATTCTCTTATGTGGGTGTTGGGATTTCATTTTTGCAGGGCATGCTTTGGAACCACAAAGTATTGTCATGCCTGGTTGGGTTTTCAAATGGTTGTATAGAAAATGGTTGCGGGAGTGGAAACGAGGTTAAGTTGTGAACAAATCGTTCATTTTGACCCTTAGGTTGGATTTTGGAAGAAAATGGGTTTTGCCATAAATATCCCAGATATTTATTTTGTATAAATAAATGGAATTGATGATAGAAATGTGAAATTTGATCGATATTAATATGGATGATGGAGTTGGATATGTATTATCGCTCACATCTTGAATTTTGGAATCCTTATCTATATTGGAGATTTTATATCTGTTTTGGCACTACAAGAAATTTCACTTTTGGCGACTACTTTTGGCAACAACGTCAATTTTTCGTAGCCAAAAGTATATTTTTGGCGACACGGTGATTAATTTTGTTGGGAAAAGTAGACCTTTACCAACGCAATTTACTATCGTCACTAAAAAAACATAACATTGACTAGGTGCCAAAAATTTTGGTTGGCGCCAAAATTTCATAAATTTTAGCTACGAGGCTTATTTTTTAGCAACGCAATAAGCGTCGCTATTAATGTGCTTACTTTTGGCGATTACAAGTTGGCATGGGCAAATAGTTAAACATTTAGCGACGATAATACTATTCGTCGGCAAAAGTTTTGGTAGTGAAATGAGGTGATTTAGTTATTTGTATTTTTATTATAATTTTTCAAATTTTTTTAAATATTCTAATTATTGAATTGTAAAATTAAAGTGGTCATCGAATTAGATCACAAAATGAATCCATCAAGCCCAAAAACACTCTTAAGTTTAGATGGTTAATTTGAGATAATTTAAACTTTTTCAAAGAATCTGGTTAAATTTTCAATTTCAATATGTTTGGTTTTATTTTCAGAAACCTATTTTAGAATTTTTTTTTCCTAAAAAACTTTAAAAAAAAAATTGGTGAAAAAATAAAAAAAATACTTATTATTTTTGTATAATTTTATTTTTTAGGAGGTCATAAATAATTTTTTAAATTTTGAAAATATAATTTTGATTTTTAGTGTTCAAATTAGTTTAATTTATTTATTTATTTATTTATAGCATTCATTCTAATTTTAATAATTTTTTTAAAAATGCTGTAAAAGATCAGTTAAGTTTTCAAATGGGATTTTATTATTGTTATAATTGAAAAGATAATGCTGAGGAAAACCTGTATACAGAGGCATTAGAGATAATTTGTATTTAAATTTAAATTTAATTAAAAAAAAATAGAGATGCTATAACGCTTCCAACACTAATCGTCTGAGCATAGAAGGGCTACAAAATCAGAGGCAGAGCTTCCTCTCTCTCTCTCTCTGTAGCTCTGTAGTAGCATCGATACTTCAAGTTCAAACCACGACAGCACCAAATCGCAGACCACACAAATCTCTGCATAAACAACCCCCCCTTCTCGCTCGCCCTCCCTCACTCCACCTTTTTCTCTTTCAGCAATGCTAGCTTCCTCCTCAGGTAAACAAACCCCACTAACCTAACTTTTTCACTCTCTCTCTCTCCTACTCAATTTTCAAAATTCATCAATCTCTCTCTCTCTCTACTTTGCCATTTCCACAGAGACTCGCACCAAGTGGAGGAAGAAGAAGCGAAAGAGAGATCCCCAAATCACTCGACGACCCAATCCCCAAGACGACGACCACGACGATGATGACGAAGAAAACGAAGACGACGACGACCTCGACCAACAACAACAACCCGAATTCGAAGGAGACCCTTAATCGGGTCCCACCGATTCGGCTCCGATTTCCCGCGAGAGTGAGGTCTTATCGGATGGCGGGGTTCGAATCTCCCACTTCCCACCCATGATCAAGCACACAATCAATCGCCCCCACTCCTCTGTGCTTGCGATTGTGGCCCTAGAGAAGGCGATTCAGTGTGGGGAGGGGAAGAACCTGCAGAACGGCGTCATATTGGAGAATGTATCGCATGGACAGCTCCAGGCGCTGTCAGCCGTGCCGGCGGATAGTCCGGCGTCGGCCGGCGATCAGGGGTCTTCTTTCACGGCCGCGTATGTGATTACGCCGCCTCCGGTTATGGAGGGTCGAGGGGTTGTGAAGCGTTTTGGGGCTAATCGAGTTCATGTTGTTCCAATGCACGCAGGTGCTTGCTTTATCTCTCTCTCTATATATATATTTTCCTATGCCCTAATCTGCTCTATTTAGGTTGATATTTGAACTATTATGTCTCATATTGTTCTCTGTTTATGTACACATGCTTATATGTATTCGTAAAAATTTTCTCAAATTATTATTTTTATATGTTTGTCTCTTTCATTGTGCCATATTATTACTTTGTGAGTTTCAGGTTTTGGGTTGTTGATTTGGAGTTTCCCCTTGGCACATTGCTCTCACTCTCTATGTGTGTTAATATTGCAGTCTGTTTAGATCAAGTGATAAGAAATGGAGAGAAAGAGAAATCTTTTATCATTTTTGGTTTATAAATTAGGTGAGAAATGGAGAGAAAGGGAACTCTTTTATTTTATAGGTTTCATTTGTCATCAAAAGTAGTGAGATTTGGTAGGAAGCAAAATCATTGGTTGTGTATTTTCATAATATTGAAATTGCCCTGTTAAAATACGAAAGAAAAAGAAATCCCACCCATATTACCATATCACAAACTTTGCTTTCACATAGAGTTCATTTCTTTTATTTTCTCACCTGGATGAGAGACCATAATCATTTCTTGCCTATTATCTTCTATATTTTGCTATGCTGTTTTGTTTCAGTCTGTCTTTGTTGATCTTGTGCTAACAATATTCACATTGCTCTATTTCTCATCATGCCATATTAATTTGCTTTTAGTTTATCTCATTTGGTTTTGAGCTTCTTTGGAGAGCAGATTGGTTTTCGCCCAGTACTGTGCATAGATTAGAGAGACAAGTGGTGCCACATTTTTTCTCCGGGAAGTCAGCTGAACATAGGCCAGAAAAATACATGGAATGTCGTAACTGTATTGTTGCCAAGTACATGGAGAATCCAGAGATGAGACTGTCAGTTGATGATTTCCAAGAATTGGTAGCTGGCATTGATATTGATGATTTAACACGAATTGTTCGGTTTCTTGATCATTGGGGAATCATTAATTACTGTGCTTTTGCTCCCAATCGTTAGCATCGGAGTGATGGTTCATATTTGAAGGAAGATTCAAATGGTGAGGTTCATGTGCCATCAGCTGCTTTGAAGTCCATTGATAGCTTAATTCGGTTTGACAAGCCCAAATGTAGGCACAAGGCAGCAAGTGTTTATCCATCATTTTCATGTCATGATGGTGAGGAGTCTGATTTAGACAGCAGGATCCGAGAGCGATTATCTGAGAATCGATGCAATTGTTGTTCCTGTCCCCTGCCCATTGTTTATTATCAGTCACAGAAGGAGGTGAGTAGCATACCTTTTTCTAGCCACTTGTTATTATGTTAATTTGAAGAGCAAACAGGTACTCGAAATCTTTGTATTTGGTCTCTAAGATTAATGTGAACCTTTGAAGATAGTTATACTTAATAATAATAACCCTTATATTGAAAAAAATATATCTTCTAATTGTGGCTAGTTATATTATGGGGAGTGATGAACCGAACTTAGTGGATTATCTTTGAGGCAATTTAGTTATCTTGTGAGAATTAAATGCCTCCCTCATATTTTAGGCAGCGTTTGAGGATACAAATCCATGATTTGAATTAGTTCCGTTAAAGATATGGAGGAGCCAACAATACTGATGGTATGAAATCAGTTTTACAACTTGTGAAATGTCTGTTGCAAGTTTTCTATGTTGGTCGTGGTGATGGAAGTCATTTTTCTGCAAGGATCCCACGCTCAATGATGGATTTGTGCATAAAAGTATATGGCAAAACATGGTGGGGTAATACCAGTTCTGTGAGTGTACAAATGCTTTCAAAAATGTCATCAACCAGTCTAATCCTACCTATGATTACAATGGATTATTGTTTCTATATTTGTTGCAAATAAGTGATTACTCATTCATGAGAATATAGAAAATAATGAGCAACTTCTTACTTTCACCTGCTTTCTTTAGGATGCTATATTTTTTTTTTTTTTTTGGGGGGGGGGGTTTAGATTTGAGAACTCTGGATTTAGTGGAGGCTATAATCTTAAATGAATGAATACTTACAATTTAAGTGTGTGTGGTGTTTAGATTTGAGAACTCTGGATTTAGCGGAGGCTATAATCTTAAATGAATGAATACTTACAATTTAAAAAATGATGCAAAATTAAGCAAATGTCTTCCTTTTTTTTAGAAGTTACTCCAAAGGTGGTTCTTAGCTTATTGGTTAAGTGGGGCTCATTTTTATGTACTTAATTAATTATAGTAACTGGCAGATGAAGACGTGTGTACTTTTTTGCTCTCTCTCTCTCTCTCTCTCTCTCTCTCTCTCTCTCTCTCTCCCTCCCTCCTTACCACCCCTCACAACAGGGGTATAGGTTTGTTCATTAACAGTTTTATCATTTTATTATTAACTTCTCCAGCAGAGACAGTATTTTGGTCAGTATGGAAAGGTGTTGAAGGTGTTTATATCTCGGACAGCAGCTGGTGCTATTCAACATTTTGCAAACAATACTTGTAGTGTGTAAGTCTTAAGTGTTTTCATTATTGCTAGTTTTTGTTTATGTATTTATTTTTATTTTCCTTGAGAAGTGAAATTGAGTTATAAATACTTCAAAATGTTTTTGTCAAACATTGCTTGTTCATTTCAATCTTTTGCTTATTCTATTAGTTCATATGTACAAGGAAACTGCCTAATCTGAAGATGCATTTTATTTCTGCTTTTTATCCAGTTGTATGTTGATACTGGCTTGTTTACATATTTTTGTTCCATTACTTCACTACAACTGTTCTGTTCTTAAACATGATTTCTATCCCAGATATATTACTTACCCAAAGGAGGAGTAAGCGGTTCGATGTATTCAATCAGTGCATGGGTTTACCATGGATGGTAAATCATTGAGGTGGGAAATGGCTACATTCAAGATTTATGTTCTATTCTGTATTCTCTTATGTGGGTGTTGGGATTTCATTTTGCAGGGCATGCTTTGGAACCACAAAGTATTGTCATGCCTGGTTGAGAAGTGTGGTATGATTTCTGAATTATTGATTGGAAATTGGACTATTGGTTATAGGTGAGGATTGAAATTTTTTTGGTGCAGTCTTGCAGCAATCCTGATTCTGTATTTGCATGAGATTGGCACACAAGAAGATAGTTTCACTAAAGATGAAATAATATCAGCATAAACAAGGTATTTTCATATTTTGATTACCCTCTGCTTTTCCTCTCATTTAATTAAAATATGGCCCTAAGTCCATACTATAAGATTTTGAATGAACGTTGTGCATAACACTTGGGTTTGTAGTGGTAGACTTGGGATTATTTTTCTGCGAGCTAACTAAGAACGTCCCTGATGTGGATTTTATCTTTTTAAGCACCGTAATTGGTCACTGATACAACTATAATTAGCATCATTGGTGGCGGTAAGGCAAATCGGAATTATTGTAAGTGTAGATTTACAAATTTGAACATATCCTTGTAAGTATAGATTTACAAATTTGAACATACTAAATTCTAAATATAGAATTATTGTTTAACTACAATAATAGTGATTGCGTTGAAATTCAATTTTTGTTACCAAAAGAAAGAAAATATGGTTTCATCTTTACTGCTTCCACTCGGTAACACACTACAATAGTGATTGCCTTGTTGCTTAGATGTTCTTCATCTTTAATTCTGCTGGTCTGCTGCTGCTGTTGCCGGTGTGCTGCCGCTGCTACTGCAATGTTGCTGTGAAGCGGGCTGCTACTAGATGCTGGTATGCTGCAAATTTGGGTTGTTGTTAGTTTCATGTTTTCATTTTGTTATCTGTTGTTTTTACTATGGGTTCACAATTTGGATGTATTTGAATATTTTAGTGAGTTTACCCTTTTAGGTTTTATACAACGCTTTCAAAAGCATATTTTTCAGCAGTGTTTTTTTGCCTACACATCAACTTTAGGTGATTTAATATCAATGTTATTAGTTTGTAATAGTAGTACCTAAGGGATGCATCTTGTAAATATGTAAATCTTATAAAAAAATATATATGATTTTCAATTTTTTTTTTGCCGCTACAAATTTGTCGTTGCCAAAAAGTAAAGCTTTCTCGACAAACAACTTATCGGTAAATGTGTAGCAAAAAGTTTATTTTTGCCCACTCATATT